GGGGACAGCATCATCTCCTGTCTGCAGGCAGGGGAGATTCCCCCTTTGTTAATTTATTCCCACCCAAGAAACGTGGCTTTCCATCACCACAGCCACATAGCTGAGACAGGACGTGTCCTGCCTCCCGCTGATCGGGATCGCTTCTGGTGCTCCCATCGCTCCGCAGGCCGGTTTGCATTATCCCATGGGAATTGCTGGGTGGGTGGCAAGGGAAATAATGCTGCAGACACGCTCATACTGCTGCTAGGTGAGGTGCCCTCTGGGGCACATGGAAATCTGCTCAAACATCTGGAGAAGGATCCTAATGTCAGCCCACCCAGGGGCCAGGCTGGAGCTAAGGCTGACACAGGGCCAGAGCCACCGGTCTGCCCTGGGAAGAGATGCTGGGAGCTCAGGAAACCCTGGGAAAGTGGGTGCGTGCCTGTTCTGTGCTTGGGTTTCCAAAACCAGAGCCTTGCAGGAGGAAGAAATGGTTGGAGCCAGTGCTGCTGGGGTCCTTTGAGAAGGGAAATCCCATTTGGGCTAAATCTGAAGAAAACCCCGCGGAAATACGAATGTTCCTCACGTACCAGCAGAGTTTCTGCGTTCCAGCATCAGTGGGATGGAGACCAAACAGCATTTCCATGGAAAGCCGTGATTGTCTTTGTAATCCCACACTTGCTCTCTTTCCAGCCTGAGCTATTTAATACCCCTTGGCATCTCTGTATAACCGCCGTATCCACGTCGCTCTGAGTAATGGCTCTCGCTGAGGGTAGCTCTGCACGCGATGTCTCTCCGTAGGCAGGCTCTCTGCATAATCGACTCTTTCATCTACCTATCTGCATTGTGAAGGGCAGCTGCACGGTCAGACCCCCCTCGCTGCCTGTGCTGGAGGTGGCTTTTGTCAGCTGCCATCACAGATCTGTGTGGTCCGCGGTCCTACCCCAACGCGGCAGGAGATGCGGATCTCTCTGTCGCTCCCACTTTGTCTGTGCAAGAGATGCTCCATGTAAGGCTGGGGGTATCTGTGGGCTCCCTATGGTAAAGGCTTGCTGGGAGCACTGGGGAGCCGCCTGGTGCCAGACTCCCCATGGCATTGGTGTCACAGGCTGTGACACCGTGCATATGTGACCATGTCTCTCTGCAGCCTCTCCTGGCTGGGGCTTTGATGGCACAAAGGGCCAATATCCCCTCGTGGTGGGGCTCAGAGGCCCAGATGCAGTCATCACCTCATCTGGGACCTGAACCCAAACATTCCCATATGTTCTCGGCTGCGCTGAGCATCCTTGTCCCCCGTGGGACTCACAGCAGGAGCCTCTGAGGATCCTACGTGCCGGGAGCAGGGAGAGCTGAGCCTCCCGTCTGCCGCATCTCCTGCTCCGATGTGTCTCGCAGGGGGAATACAGGAGCTCGGTGTGAACGGGGCTGGCAGCACGCTCCGAGGTGTGCCAAGGCGGGGAGTCGGGCACGGCATCAGTGCTGGGGGCAGGGGGCACGGCAGGGTTGTCAGCGCAGGACCGAGGGGCTGTTTTTCACTCTGTCACTGGCAGGTCACGTATCCTTAAATAAACAACAGAATAAATAATTCACAGGGCTTTGATATGGGCAGATTGGCTATGAAAACATTGCAGCTAACAAATAGCTCTGTCAGCTCTAATTTCTTATGGCCTATCTAATTGTTATCTGGGAATACCAGTCTGAAGTCTGCAGCAAGGTTCATTTGTCAGCGAGGCACCGAGATGGAGGGAGAGCTGCCGGGCGTCCCGGCCGCTCTGTGTGGTGCCGGTTTCTCGCAGAGGACACGTTTGTGCTGCTTGTGGTGTCTCAGGCTTTGCTTTGTGTCCCGGCGCTCATCCGTGTCCTTGGCTGGAGGGCGTCCGTGTGTCTGCTGAGCCCTGTGGCACTTGGGAACCTCATGGTGGGATCTCGGCAGAGCATCACGCCTGGCCACAGCGCGGAGACAAGCCGGGGCGTTGCAAGCCGCAGCCTGCTGCTAAAAGCAAGTGACGTGCTGCAGCCTCCGAGCCCGAAGGCAGCGGTGCAGCCCTGCGGGGAGCAGGAGGATTTATTGCTGTCTGGCATTTTCCTGGTGCTGGGCCTTGCTGCGGCTTCCCTGGTGTCCGTCTGGGACCCGTGGTGGCTTTGTAGCTGTTGCTGCCTCCTCTCCTCAATGTGTTCGACCCCATCTCAAGGTGTTGTCCCAAAAATCAGGGGCTGGCTCCGAGCCCGAAGGCAGCGGTGCAGCCCTGCGGGGAGCAGGAGGATTTATTGCTGTCTGGCATTTTCCTGGTGCTGGGCCTTGCTGCGGCTTCCCTGGTGTCCGTCTGGGACCCGTGGTGGCTTTGTAGCTGTTGCTGCCTCCTCTCCTCAATGTGTTCGACCCCATCTCAAGGTGTTGTCCCAAAAATCAGGGGCTGGTGCATCTGGGAAAGCTGGAAGGTGGCAGCAGCGTATGTGCCCTGCTTCTCCGGCACCTGAGCAGGGACACAGGGATCCTCATGGAGGGACTTGCTGCTCAGCTACCGTGGAGCGGCATGCAGGGGTGCGGGGTGCCCAGCTTGGACCCCAAATTGTGCTCTTGCAGGGCTGGGGCAAGCAGAGCTTTTGGGAATGTGGAGCACCCGTGGGTGTGTCTGTAAGAAAGGGGAAGTGAATGGGAGCCCAGGAGCACATTCCTCATGGCTCATGTCATGTCCCAGGGTCTCTCTTTGGGATGAACTGTCTTTAGAGAACCCCCAGGAGCTGCTGTGGGGCTCAGCCCCTCTGCCACGGCTCAGTGCCCTCTCAGGGAATGATCCTGAGCACCAGCGCTGGCTGGACCCATGAGCAAACTCCATGTCACATCCCCGCCAGCATCTCCTGGCGGGATTGTTGGGTCAGGGTGACAGGACAAGAGCCAGAAAGGGAGGGTGGCCTTCATTAATGATCCATGTGAGGTTTGTCTCTCTTTCCAGCACTGGCTACCAAACAGACCTACGTCAGCTATAGCAACCACGCGATTTAGCTCCACCGATCGCAACTGCCTGGCACAGAGGGAGCCTGCGGATGCCACGACACGGGAGGGAGCTGAGCCGCACCGCTCGTCGCAGGACGCTGGAGGGGGAGCTGGACGGGACGGGGAGGTGGCAGCAGGGGGGGACACACGCTGCTGGTGGGGCTGCTGGGCAGAGCCCCTGGGGAAGATGGCAATCAACAGCAGCAAAAAAAAAAAATAAATAAAGAAACAATAAAACCAAACCACCGACCACCGTGACAATGCATGCCTCCCCATGGAGGAAGAGGAACAGTTGAGCAGGGGGGGACGTACTATGGAGAAGAGGTGACGGACTTCGGCAAGTCTTTGGGGTTTTTTTCTGTATCTTGGCAAAAAAAAAAAAAAAAGACACCCAACATTTTCCCTTTTCTGGAATTTGTGAGATTGTTTGTGGTTGTGCAGAACCTTCTGTTTTCTCTTTCTTCTTTTTTTTTTTTTAATCCTCCATTTTCTTTCGTTCCTCCGTCTTCCTCCGTCCCTCTTCACTCTCTCTCCCGTATCCTACCAAATTCTCTATGTTGCAGAAAGGAAAAATAAATAAAAATACATAAAATTTAAATAAAAAAGACAACAAAATAAAATAAAATAAAACCTAGACTGTGTTCAAAGTGCTGATTTCTATAGGTGGTTAATTAATGTATGTGATGACCATATGGATTGAAATATGTCTGCTTTATGTACTGACCAGTCAAAAAACAAAAACACACAAAAAAAACAAAGTTCAGTGCCTGGATGTTTATGAATTATTCGATGACTGTGTAGAGCATGATCATTTTTATACAAGGAGATTTCTAATAAAAGACCATGGTTTTGCACTCAGCGTTTGCTGTCTCTTGGTGACTGTTCGTTCCAGGCTCCAGCAGGTGACTTGGTTTTGGCTGATGGGGAAGGTTTTGGGTGGCCAAATGCTCCAGGACAGCACAGGGCTTGGTGTCCTTCCTCTTCAGGCCATCCTGCTGCAAACGGGGTCCTTGTGAGACGGGATGGGACAGGGAGAGGAGAGCTCAGCATCACCCTGGCACAGTGCATTGGGGCACAGGCTGCACCGATGCTCAGGGGTTGGGGCAGGATCCGGGCCAGAAAGGGCTGATTCCTCCTCGTTTGCTCTTCCAGAAGGTGCGGACTGAGGCTGGAGGGATGCAGCAGAAAGGAAGGGAATTTGCAGGGCTTCCTCCCCCTTCAGAGGCAGGGCCAGCTCCACCCTCCCCATCAAGACCAACCTGGGCTAATTAGGGAGCTGCCAGCTAACAAAAGCAGCTCTGCCCTTCCTGCAAGGAGGGTTCTTCTCCCTGGCTCCAGCCTCCCCCTTGGGACAGCACAGCCTGGTGTGCAAGGTAGGTGGCTCTTTGAAGAGGCTTGGTTTTTGCCTGTTTTGGGGAGGTTTGGTGGGTTTCCTGCTGGTACCTCTGTCCCTGTGATCTGGGATAAGGAGGTGGTTGTGCTTGTTTACCGCTGGGCAAGGAGAGGACGGTCCAAGCTTTCTTCTGGAAAGCAGATAGGACGTGGGGAAAGCAGGAGAGGAAGGTACTGCTGCCTGCCCCAGAAAGATGGGCTGCCTTCGGCTTTTGGGCAGGTTGTTGCTTTAGGTGTTGAGCAAAAGCGCTGGAGCTGGCGGCGGTAGCCTGACCTCTCAGAGGCAACGAGGGTGCTGGATGTCTCCCCGTCCTTTTGCATGTGTTCCTCTTGACCTGAAGGTGCCTCTGTATTCCCACCTCTGAGCCTGAGTGAAGTTACCCCCGTATTTTGCATGTGTCTAGACCTGTTTGTGTATTAATCGCAGCTCTGCTCTCCCTCTGGTGTGTCGCGCAGACTGTGTGCCCTGGGGAGGGGAGGCCTCCGTGCTGCTCCGAGCACTGCGGGGAGCTTCAACCATTGATCAATGCCAGAAGGGAAACGCGACTGTTCCCTGCCGGCATGGAAAGGACAGAGCGTGGCTTGAAGGCAGCAGTTAAAAAAAGAAGAAAGAAATGTAATGAAAAGCTTGAAACTTTGATAAGATCATACTTGTCAAAAGAGCTTCTCAGGAGGAAAGAACCCTGCTCTGTTCCCACCACATCCATCACTGTCGGATCGGATGTGAAATGCCGCCTGGTTCAGAGGGCTCCTGGAAAACCTGAGTTGATGTCTCTGGTGTTGATGTCTGCTGTTTCCAGCTCTGAGATACTGCTCTACTGTTTTTACAAGCAGCTTTCCACCCTACATTCTGCCTGATAATGACTGGAAAGGCCGATTCTACCTTAATTACAGCATCCCTGTCCTCTCCCTTGCGATATTTGTGGGCAGGGATCCTCTGAGTCCTCCAGAGAGGCTGTGCGTGGGGACCGACCATGCTGCTACCAAGCAGATCTTCCAGGCTCATCTGTCCAGGGAGTTCCACAGGGCATGGTGCAGGCACCAGAGCTGGACAGGGTGTGGGAAAGAGGAGACCTGTGGTAGCGAGGTCTACCTGGGCTGATACTTTCTACCCAGGCAGGATGCAGAGAGCTGTGCTGATCTTGATCTGCGAAAGAACTCCACAATCCAAGATGACTGTGCAGCAGGTCTGTTTATTACAGCTCTGCAGCGCTGGGTGCAGCGAGGGTCCGGTGCCCTAAGGATGCTGCACCCCGAGCTGCCGTAATTGCCTCCCATTTATTTACACAACAAAACATACATATTTACATATTTATCACTCTGTCCCGCTTCGGATGTAAATTAGATCTCCTTCCCGTTGCGCAAGGGCAGTCTTCCCCATCGGGGGTCTCTTGGTGGTCTTGGGGAGGAAGTAAGAGTTCCTCGATAGCCTTCATCATCATTGTCCTTTTGAACCCATCCTCCAGAGTGCGCAGTTCAGGGGCAGCTGGGCAGTGTCTCCCCCCACGACCACAGCTCAAGGCAACATCCCCCTCCGTGGTCACGGTCGCCTTCAAGTAGTCAAGACCCTACTTGAGCACAATGAAGCAGGCCTTCAAGTGATCAAGACCCTACTTAAGCCCTGCCAAGGGCAGGGGGTCAGACTCTTCTTTACCAAAGACAAGGCTAGCGAGCTAATATTGAAGATACTAAAGCATATCACATATTTCAAAAAGAATATTTTCAGATATTTTCTACTTTCCCCTGTCAATCTAACTGCTCTGCTTTGGTAGCTGCGTGAACTGTGTTTGTCACGAGCAAATACTTCTTCAAGGTGTTGCTCTGTGTCTCTCCCTTTTTCTCAAATATTTGTGCCTTCACACCGCTTCCCTAGAAACGCGGCCAGCCCTGGAGCGCGTCCTGCCAGCCGCTGCGGGGTGTCACCGCAGAAAGGTGCGCAGAAACGAGAGTTGTGCTACCGCCGTCGGCAGCCAGCAGCGCGCAGCAGCTCCAAAAGCTCTTCCTTTGGACCGTGGGGTCTGGGATGGCACATCCCAAAGGGGTGCTTTTGGCGCTTGCTTGGAAGAAGTTACTCGGCTAAACTTTGAACGTGGTTTCAAGTAGATTCGTGTTCCCCTCCTGCACCAGACCCTGTTTAAGCACAATAGCCACCCCGTTTTCTTGATGGATCTGGTGGAGTGTTAAATCAAGAGAGTCCTCATGTGGGTACTTATTTTGGTGTTAAGTGTGCTTTACAGTGCTTCAGTCTTATTCCTTACAGACTTCAGCTTAAATGATATAAAGATGCTCTTAAACAGATATGCAAAATATTTGCACAAATCCAACCTCGCTGGTCACAAACCAGAATTTTAATTGGCCCCATTTTTTTATCAGCTAAAACCTCCGCTTACTGGCACCGTTACTGCGCGCTGCTAAACAGACCTGTATCCCTCCCAGCGCTGGGTGCGTTTCAGCGGCGGATGCAGTGACCTCCGAACATGCCTGGTTAGCTTTATAAGGCATTTCATGATACAACGCTGTTTAATTCTAGACACTTATTTGATTATGAAAGCTAATTAGAAGGGAGCGGTCTATAAGCAACTGAGATGAATGTAGAGCCACATGGATCTAGGTAGGCTCTGGTGCTGGTATGTGCAGAGAGGTGAGAGCTGCTGCTGGGGCGGTTTTGGGAGCTAGCTGGTGTCTATTAGGATCGGGTTTTTGCTTTGCTTCGTGTTTTTGAGGGCAGTTCTGCCTGTGGCTGAGCAGAAAAGGAGTAGATACTGGTTCCTGGATACTAGATTCCTAGTTTTTGGTACTTCGTGTATTTTATTTTTTTTTAAATAAGGTGCCTGTCTTGAAGTCTGTGCTGCTGTTTCTCCTCCCCACCTCTCTTACAGCTTACAAGTACTTGTCTGATTTTCCCCTTATTTCTGTGAAGAGCTGTTGAATTTAAATAACAATAACCGCCTGCCTTCCCCGAGTGGTTGATCTATGCATTTTTAACTTTTTCTGGGAATCTGAGAAGTGAGGGGAGAAACCTGGGCTGGTACCGTCTCCCTCCATCCCCTGCTCCTATTTCCCTCCACCTCAAACCTTCTGTTGGCCTTGGCTCCCATTCCTGAGTCCCCAGCTCTTCTCCTGAGCTCCCTTCTCTAGGGCCAAAAGGGAACTTTTGGGGTCCTGCTGTCCTTTCCATGGCATGGCCAGGGGCTGGAGTGGGGAGCTGTGTGCGGGCTCATCTCCCCAGCCTGCATGGAGTGGCAGCAGCGTGGAACCTGTCATTAACTCTCTTCTGTGAGAGGCAAATTACAGACTTTAGTGGCATAATTAGGCCAACTTGATAGGAAATGGAAAAACAAAATAATTTCTCTGCGCATTTTTCAGTCTGCCCGCCACCTTGTCCCTTATTCCTCCTCAGAACTGACTTGGGAAAAATTGCTCCCCTGCCACCCAGCTCCGGTGACCTCCTGTTGAAGCTACAGCAAAGCTCCTTAGTAAGGAAATCTGGAGGAAAGGGATGGAAAGAGCAGGGCCAGAGTAGAAAGTGTTTTGTTGCTTGCTCTGAGACGGGTCTCCATCCAGCTTCTCTCCCTGTGGGAGAGTCAGAGAGTCCCCTTTTGGCCCCAGGAAAGCTG